ATAATGCATTTTATTTATAAAGTGCCTTTCAGGACACCCAAGGACGCTGTTATAATCGTTGCTAATCATGCAATAATCATTTCTCTGGATTCTTCACAAATCTAAYAAAGAAAAGTAAACAGATATGCAAATGTTTGTAGACTTGCAAACAAAACTAAATTGTCAAAACAAGTTGTTTTACAACTACAAGACTCTGCAACATTTAATGTGACTCAGCAGATTTTAAATATGGTGCTATTTAAYGCATCCTAAAAGATGTGCAAAGCAAAGGTCTGTGCATGTGTTTTCATTTATCTGTCTGTTAGCAACATTTCTAATGAACCACCATGTAAGYGTTTAACTGAATTAGATTTTGTGTTACACAGGCTCGTACCTGGACTTTTCTTTATTGGAGAAAACTCAAGCCTCTGGCAGACAGAGCCGAACTCGCAGCTTGGAGCGCACCGCCCYCTGGTGGACAGAGGTGTACTAGATGCAGGACTCTTTCCGCTCCTCTGGATGATCCGTCGCCGGAAGCGTTTGTACGTGACGTCATGTGTCTCGTTTTCTTCCTGAAAAGAAGAAAAAGTAATAATACTTCTAGGGATTTTAGCTGGTGACATTTAAATGCGATTTGTTTACACTACACATTTATCAAATACTGCTTGACATGCAGCATATTTGAGAGGTGGGACTACTATTTTTAGAGATTTTTGTCCATTTTTATCCCCAACATTTTGTAAATATTTTTCAATTTAACTTCTGCATTGGTAATTTAATATAACACCTGTTTTAATTTGAAGGCACCATATTTCCGGGTTCCTTGTCTTATTTTGAAGTGTTTCCGGTTTTTCTTACAGCTAGCTCAGTTAGCTTTACGCAGTTTTCTCCGGTCTGCCCTCGTCTACTTCTGTCCCAACTCCAGTCTGTTCTTTTTTTTTTTTTTCCTCCAAGATGGAGGCTTTAGGAGGTTATCCTACCAAATCCTCCAGCCTCAGAGCTAAAAGGTTGCGGGTTCTTCTGAGCATGACGGTCGGTGTGGGGTGTTTGTTCCTCCTGCAGACCCAGCTGGTGAAACCCAGAAAACGGGACGATTTTTATTCCTTTGAGGTGAAAGACGCGAAGGGGAGGACGGTTTCCCTGGAGAAGTACCGAGGAAAAGTATGTCCACATCATCACCAGTCGTTTTACTTTTTTTTATTTGGGAACAAATCTCTGCAAACCTCAGCTGGAAATTGAGGGCGCGCGCCAAGTTGCGCGAACCTGAAATCTCCCTCTCGGCCAAGTTGAATAACTGAGTTTCTTTCCTCCTGTTCAGGCGTCTTTGGTTGTAAACGTGGCGAGCCGCTGCGAGCACACGGAGTCGAACTACAGATCTCTGCAGGAGCTCCACCGGGAGCTGGGCACGTCTCACTTCAACGTCCTGGCCTTCCCCTGCGGACAGTTCGGGGACACGGAGCACGGCTTCAGCAGGGACATCGAGGCGTTCGCCAAGTCCACACACGGCGTCACCTTCCCTTTCTTCAGCAAGATCAAAATCCTGGGCTCGGAGGCAGAACCTGCCTTCAGGTTCCTCACAGGTCGGCACACATCCTCCCCTACTTCTAACTAGGGCTGCCACAAACAGTTATTTTAATAATCGATTAATTACAGATTATTTATTCGATTAGTCGACTAATCGGATCATACGTTAGTTGAATATAAAACATACAGCTTATCACGTCAGAATGCAGCTGCTATT